CATGGTGAAATCAATACATTCATCGCTCCGCTCAGAATCTAAAATAACGGATCAATAAGACAATAATAGTTGACCTATTTATTTTTGAATTATATATCATCATAATTTATCTTAATAAATTAGTAGGATTTTTATTATGCTAACTGAATAAATACAGCACTGCCTCGCCAGCACGAATTAAAATAATGTGCAGTCATGATCACACTAGTTATTTAGATGGTTATATGTCTATAGTATGATTTTATAAAAATGCCATTTTAGATAATTTTGATCAGAGTTGTGCAAAGAATCTTGCTTCCCCGTAGCCCCACCACCATGGACATAATATAAACTCGAGTTTATATGTCTATGCCCTCCACTCATCACTAGCGTAATAGGATCTACGAACATTGTTCTGCTTTTGTATTACAGTTTTACGGCCGAGGTTATAATAATAACTAATTATCAATTATTATCATGGTAGTTGGTTCATAAATCATATTATCATAATATTATACAATTGAATTGATTAACTTATCACAATATATTATTATATAATATTATGTTCATTTTATTTATGATTATATGAGAAATTCTTTCAACATAAATTTACAAGCACTATGTGATTTTATCTTATCAATATTACTACGAAAATTCTGTGATAATACCTATAATTCGTACGTCTTGAATTCGTTCAAGTACAACCAGATTTAAATAATACCACARAATGAATTCATAGATTAAATACTACTTTCAAGGTGTGTACTTTTTCACTATCATAAGTGATAACATTAACAACAATATTATTATTTTTAATTGTTATTACTTATTAATAAACGACACACCATTTAGGGTTTCAATTCCAATCCATAGCCATCAACTATTTGAGAGTATAGTGCGTCATAGAATTTACAGATCTTATTAGTCTTTTAATTGTGTTCTGCTACCGATATTGTGTAACATTCTAAATACTTTTTTTCACCGTGATGCTCGAACAACATTGTTGGCGTTCAGCGTTTTGAATCGATCTGCGGCGGTGTTGAGTTTAGGTGACAATGTCGATGTTCGAGAACGGTGCAACTGTGAAGGACAAAGTCGACGATACCCATCCATTGAAATGCACGATTCTCAATTCACGGAACACCAGTGGATATACKGTGAATAAGAATAATAATCAAATTTAAATTCCCGATCCATAATATTATATTACAATAATAAATATTGACCCGTATTGTGTGTTTTTCGTTTAAAGGAATACGTCATAGAAGTAACACGCACTGGTGTTCAGGATTATACTTGGAAAATATTTAAGCGATACAGTGATTTTGTTAAGCTTCAAAATATGTTGTATAAGATGTCATCAAAAATTAATTTGGATTTACCCCCAAAGAAATACATTGGAAATATGGATCGAAAATTGGTGATGCAACGACAGAATGCATTACAAGTAATATATAAAATGTTTTAGTTAAAAATAATGGGTACTTGATATTTTAATTGAAAAAAGAGATCTTAATTTAATATT